CTCAGCATCTTTGGTTTTCAACTAATGCCAACCTTGACATTCATTTACAATGAATGACCTATTCACACCAATGCAATAGTGTGCATAACCTGCTTATGCATGAGAATTTCTCTGTTTTCTCAGAGTTTCCTATAAATCTCCAAAGCTGAGGGGAGCGAAGTTCCCCCACATTCTTAAGAGAGTGACAGGGAACTGGCAGACATGCCCTTTATGACTTTCTAAGATAATCTATTGATTCTGTTGTTATCACCACCTGCCCCACACTCTAACCACCCTATGTAAAGTGAAGATGTGACTTTTGAAGGGAGCTCACCCAACAGTTCATTGATGTGGGGAATTTGGGCATCCTGCTGTGTCATTCTCATCTCCAGATCCCAGGAACAAGCTTCCAAGGAATCTGTCATAGAGTTTAGGGGTGGGTGCTTCAAAAAGGGGAGGCTGGCCTCTCACTCTCTGGATGGATGCTGGCTGAGCTCAGAAGCATGGCAGCCATTCCTGCTCTGCCACCAGGGAGCAGGGGGAGAGAGCTCTTGGAGGGCTTGACTCCTCGATGCTGGAGTTTACTGGGCTTCCTGAATATGGAGAGTGAGACTTAATTACAGCCTGGAGAATTCTGGAGGTATGAGGGTGGATGGTACAGCTAGCAATGGCTGGGAGGAGAAAAAGAAGGAAATGGACAGCATTTGGCCTGCATTTTCCTTGCCACAGAAGGTGGTCAGGCTTAAGCCATTGTCTGAGTCAGCTCGGGCTGCTATAATAGAATACCAGAGACGGGGTGGTTTAAACAACAGAAATTTATTTCTCATAGTTCTGAAGGCTGGGAAGTCTGAGATCAGGGTGCCAGCATGGTCAGGTTCTGGGGAGATCTCTCTTTCTGGCTTACAGATGGCTGCCTTCTTGCTGTGTCCTCGCATGGCGGAGACCAGAGAGAGGAGGCAAGCTCTCCCCTGTCTCTTCTTATAGGTGCACAAATCCCATCATGGGGGATTAGGGCTTCAACATATAAATTTCTGCAGAACACAAATATGCAGTCCATGACAACCATCTAGAAGAAATCTTCCTATGAGGGGACTCAATTATGGAGGAATCATGGGAATTAGGACCTCAGAGGTGGTCCAAAGTAAGCAATTGGAGAGCACATTACCACTCCAGGAACTGAGCAGTACAGTGGTTCCCACTGTGACTCTGAAGACCGCACACGTCTGTCCCACAAAAAGTCAGCATTTGAATGAGGGCAACACAGAAGTGGCCACCTGGTGTGGGCCAAGGGAGAAACATACCAGTGACCATCTAAGAAAAAAAAAGACTTTTACCCCTTCCTCTAATCTATCTTTTCCATGCACTGACCTTGAGAGAGCAGAAAAGATGGGAGAAGGTGGAGGAAAATTTAATGTTCAATCTCCAACGCAAGTCCCCAGGCCAAGGTCAGGCCTGATGGGGGAAGGAGTGGGCAGTGGAGGCAGGTTGTGGGGAAAAAGGAGAGAGACGGAGCTTGGGATTAGGTGTAAGGTTCAAGTTTTATTTTGTTGGACAGGACTTTACAGTATCTGAAAATGAGTCTTTACAACTGAAAGGAGATTGTTCACGAAACCAAAGAGATTGGAAGGTCATGGGATCTGCCTGGGATGTCATCCAAAGGTGGAGAAACAAGATCCATCAGAACATGCTGGAAGCAGCGGAAGGAGAGAAATAAAACTATTCTTGCTTGTATCCTCGCTGAGTTCAGACTCTTCGTTAGACTGCTTCCACGTGCCTTGTAGACATTACTGAAAAATTTGTAGGTGAGATGGGGGAGAGCATTTTCACCAAACACAGCAGGCTGCCCCAAGCATCCTCATTGGATATGCCTTCCTTTCTGAATCTCCCCCAATTCTGCGGATCTAGTGGTCCTGCTTTCCCTCCCTCATGTGCTCACTCTCTTTTCTCTGGGCGCAAACTTGCACACCCATCCATGAAAGCACTTTAGTGATTCCCATGTGAAGGGCATGACATCAAGGTCTGTACGCACGGTAAGGCAGCACTCTCACTCTAGACTTCCTTTTTCCAAGAATCAAGTCTGTAGCTAGGTTTATAGGTTGGTCTCAATCTAATAGAATGCGCTCTCATTTAGGTTAAGTAAAGTAAGTATTGTACTCAAAAAGGAAATGAAAGACAATTTCTTAAGGTAATCCTGGATTCTCACTGAAAAATTCAGTGGGCGTGTCTTGGCTGTTAGACATGAAGGCTCACAATGACATTTGGTGTGTGCTTTTTATGCCTTCTTTCCAACCTTCAGGCGAATTTCCTATTTGGGAACATTGTCTCCATTTAATTGAAAATTGCTGAGCTCTAACATTATTATCCAGATGGTTTTATAAAATGATTCTGAGTTCTCATTTGCTTTTGGTTGATGAGTTCATTTGGAAGCGAAAATTCAAAAAACAATATTAACCGAGAAAAATGACAGTGATGGGCCTTTCTATGGAAATCACAACAGGATGGTACGTGATTGGATGGGGTTAAAAGCATCCTTTGAGATGGCCTCTCTGTGGTAGGGCTGTGATAGAAGCTAAGGACTAATAGCATTTAATATTTTTTCTACTCCTGCAGACTGTCCAAGTGTGCAATCTTTGAAGGCAGAGACATTTAATCCACCAGTGATCACGTTGATTATATCTCCAAAATATATTTTAAATCAATTCTTTTCTCTCCACTTCCATCGCCACCAGTTTAGTCTGGGCACCTAAGTGGTCTCTTTGCTTCTAATTTGCCTCTTTTGATCCATTTCCTACACAGTAGCTGATATGATTGTAAAAAATGAATGGGTTAGGATGGTGAATTGAAACCAATTCACAGAATTTCTCTTCTCCAATGCCTAGTAAATGAGAGTAGGGGAGTATCAACAAGCCAAGAATATATCAACAATCTGGTTGAATAACCTTAAAAAAATTTTATCATTCTGTTTGCATCTCTCTAGATTTGGGAGTATTGTTGAGAATACCCAGGCTTTTCCTGCCTCATTGGAATGGCTTCTGAGGGATGAGTAGTGGGTTAGGAGCAGGTGGGGCTACAGTCCTCCCCTCCTCTCTGTACTAGAACCCCTCTTTCCTTTTTTGGTGGATAAAAATGTTCCTATCTGTGGTAGCCATGAGAATGTGCCTCTCAGATTTCCAACTGTCAGGACCAAGGCCTCCAGTTGCTTGGCTTTGAAATCCATCACTGAAGTTTGTGCCAACGCCTTGTTTTCCAAGGGCTGCTCCCAGGAGTTGGCTGTGCATGGCAGAGTTATTAAACAGACCCATTCCTGAGAGATGTAGGACTCCTCTGATGGGCAACTTTGGCTTGAGGACGCCCCCCCATGACCTTGCCCAGCTTTCCTTATACTGCATGGCAATCTAGGAAGTGTCCACCCAACCTTCCTTCCTTCCTTCCCTCTCTCCTTCACTCAGAGTCAGACCTGCATCATGGCCTGAGGGCTTTCTCAACCTTTCCTGGCACCCTCTCAATTTTCTCTCATAGATGCTCTCCCCTAAAAAATTTCTTGCACATTTAATCCTGTCTTGGTGCTTGCTTCTCAGAGGACCCAGAATAACACATTGGTGCATAGGAGATGCTTGATAAATTTATTCAGGAAGTGAATGAAAAAATGAATTAAAAAGAGTTCTCCTTTAACTTTTCAGAAAAAAAATATTTTCCAATATCCTTGGGGGAAATATGCGAATAAAAATCTGATATTTTTCTCCCTTTTCTGTTTCTGGCTCTTTACCTCTCTGTGCCTGATTCTTTGCTTTCAAACTGTTCTATCCAAGGAGAAACTTTGAGTCATCTTCCCCTTATGTCAGATGACTTTGGCACCTGGAACAGTTTATAAGGTAATGGAATCATGAAATCATATGTAAATTCATTAGAAATATTTTTCATGGTGTTCTTGTGAGGACTAAATTAGATAACCCAAGCAAAAAGCTTAGCACAGTTCCTGACACATAGCAAGTTCATTATAAATAGATAAAATGTGGTGGACACACACCTTAGTGTCCCATGCCTCCATCTGAAGCAACACAGTAAATGTACATACATCAACACAGATGAATCATAAATTATACGTGTTGCTTAAAAGGAGAGTCTCTGGTTGGACCTAATGTTTACACTTGCTTGGAGAATTCTGAGTGCTTGTGGTAGCCCCACGGGCTTCCTTATTCCTAAGAGGGCCCTTATTTCTCATGATGTTTGACTGTGAATAGGATTTTGAGTTGCAAGCAGAATCGTAGTAACAGCTGATATTTTTAAGCATTTCTTTGTTCCAGAATGTTCAGTAACTTGCCTAAGACCACATAGCTAGTATAGGAAAAGATGGGTTTGTCCAGGTTGATGGGGCTGGTATCGATGTGAAGATGAGAAATGAGGTAGAGAGGAAGCTGGAGCCCTCGCAGTACCATGGTACCCTGGACCCAGTGGGGAGGCAAGGCTGCCACGGCAAGGCTAGGGATTCTTTCTCTTCGGTTCCTGGAGGCAGCATCCAGTGGTAGACAAGCCTGGGCTGAGTCCAGCACCTGAGCTGTAACATGGCTTTGCCATTGAGTAGCATGGAACCTCGAAGAAGTTACTTCACTTTAATAGGCTATGATCTCCTCTTCTGTAAAATGGAAAAATGCTACCTACTTCAGATAGTTGTATGAGAATCACATGAGATAACAGATGTGTTCCAGTGTCTGTGGTAACAAAGCTTCCCAATTGTAGTGGCTTAAAACAACTCACATCCATGGGTCAGGAATTTGGGCAGGACTCATGTGATTATTCAGCTCCATCTGGCTTGACTGGGGTCACGCTGGTGTTCAGCTGGTGGCTGGCTCTCTCTGGAGGGTTAAAAAAGGCTTCACTCACATATCTGGGGCCTTGGTGGGGATGGCTGATAGGCTAGACTTCACTGGCCCACTCACTCTCTCTATGTAGTCTTGAGCCTCTCTGCATGGTTTCTCCATCTGGGTAGTCTGATTTCTTACATGTAGACACAGAGCTCTAAGAAAGAGTAATTACAGCAATAGGAAATGGAAGCTACCAGTCTCTTAAGATCTGGGCCAGGAAAGTGGCACAAAATCACTAACTCCATATTCTATTAGATAATTACAGAGTCAATCTAGATTTAAGAGGAGGAGGCATTCCTCTTGGTGGAAGGAGTGTCAAAGTGAGATAGGTAGTGAGGTAGACATGAGCGGGGGATCATGGTTGGAGGCCTTGCTGCATCAGTGAAGTGTCTTGCTGGCATCCAAGATGCAGATAAGGGGGAACTGAGACCTGCCTGGAGCCACCACCGGAGTCTGAGATCTTCAACCACGAAGATAAAAGTAATGAGTGCACAAACAACACATACAAAGCCTTCTGTATATACCTCTAGAGGACATTGACATTTCTTTAATTTACATACAAATTCCGTATGCATTAGCCCCCATTCCACGGGGGATGATTGCCAAGACAGTTCCGGAGACTCCCCTAGAAGGTCAAGAACTCCCCCTCCCGATGTGTGGGTGGAGGAAAGACCATTATTTGTGGATAACCAGATAATGCTAATTCCCTTCTAAACAGCCCAAATAAAAATAAAACTAACCCAAGACACGGGGCTGATGCGTTCTCTGGCACTGCCTGCTCCTCACTTGGAGTGTATCTGACCCTTCCTCTAATAAATCTTTGCTTACTTGCTGTTGCTGTTGTGTCGGTGTCTGAATTCCTCTCTTACGCTGACCAAGAACCTGGGTGATCCGACTTTTCAGTCCGCTTACAAAAGAGTTTGCAGCCATCTTAATCTGCCACAATAAGTAGTGCAGATTGCATAACTGTTAGGAGCTTAAGTTCTGAAGACAGAGAGTATTTGGGTTTTACCACTTACTACCTGCATAGCAGGCGCATTATTTATACTAAGCCTGCAGCTCGGTTTCCTTGTCTGAAAAAGGGCATAAAAATTGACCATCCCTTCTAATGCTAAGAGAAACTCTCTGCTTCCCATTTTTGAATTACATTAAAAAACCTTGAAAGACATCAGAGTCCAGAAAACGGAGAACAGGAAAGAAACCAACTTGCCATATAGTCAAATGTATTTAGAGTACATTGTGTTCTTCATACCAGGCTAATTATTATACGCATGTTTCTTTATTAATCTTCACAATGCGCCTAAAAGGCACTGATTGTCTTCATTTTTTAAAATGAGAAACCTCTGAGGCTCTGAGATGTTAAAGCTAGTCTAGTATCACACAGCTAGCAATGGAAGAGCCAAAACTGAAAAATTGCCAACCAGAAATGTTTCTCTGATTTCATTGTTCTATTTGTGCAACAGCTACAATTTCCCCAAGATTTATTTTCCCTGCTGCACGTGATAAAGGGTCTCAAGGCTATCACCTCTAGAAGACAACAGTCAATTGTCTGAGCTAGAAAGGGAAGGTATTGCAATAAAAAGAAAGGCATTTTTTTCCTAATATTTCAATATGTCATAACTTTTTAAAGGCTGCACATTTATCTTGATGATTATTTTTATCTTAGGCCAGTGATTCCTGATCTTTTAAAAATTTCGATATCCTTTTATTTCATAGACAAAGCAGCCTGAGAGAGTTTCACAAAGTTTGGAAAGTAGACTTCTACCTCTACTGGGAATTGGACACAAAATGATTATTTTTGTCATCCATTTATGGCAAGTAATACTGGTTTTCTATTTACATGAGTGATATAAACATTGCTTTTAAATAAATTTAAATGAAAATGTGAGTTGATTTAAAGAAAACAAACAAATAATAGTAAGATGGTGGGTGTATAGCGCACAGACTGGGAATCATGAACTACTGAAATTTGGGAAATACTGGTGCAGTGGATAGAGATATCTACTAGATATTGGGTATTGGGGTAGATGTTAAGATCTAGATCTAGATGGATATAGATAGTGAGACATCGTATACGGAGAGACTCATGCTTAGTCCTGACAGCCACTGATTAGCTGTCTGACTTTGAGCAACTCATGTAACATCCATTATGGACATCAGTCTTCTCATTTGCCAAATTAAAGAATTGATTTAATTTATCCCGAGAATTATTTTTTTTTGCTCTAAGATTTGTACATTGCACCTCTTCTTCCAACAAACCACTCATTTATTCAGGAATGAAAAATACAAATTTGGATTATATTTTATACGTGTCTGAAAGAAGTAAAGATGACAAGGCTTTTAAATCATCACCTTCTCCTGAGAGAAATATTTTTAATAACGTCTAGAGTGGGGTTGGCAACTGTGAACTTCATTTTTCTTCTCTGACTTTCAAATGCATTTCTGTCAGCATCTTTAATTCCTTATAATTATATCTTTAGCCAACATCATAAAATGTGAAATCTATTATTATCTATCATCATTATTCATTGAACACATCATCAATGACTGTCCCAATCCTCCATAATTATGCTGCCAGTAAGCCTGCTGTGTATATCACATTCATAAAAATTCATAAAAATTCAAAAAAGATATATATTCTGTACATCGACTTCAGAGCAGTTCATGCAAAAGGATGTGAAGTAAACACCCTAAATGTAGAGATTTCCTGTTGAAGCTGGGCAGTCACTGACGTGCCCAATCAATCTTAAAGTTGCATCTCTCACCAGCCAATGACCTTGAAGTTGATGTTTTCCAAAGTGGACAGGTTCCCAGTTATTGGAAGGTTTCACTCAACTCGTCCCACGAGTCCCTTAAAAGAGGCTGAGTGGGGATGATGAATGACTAGAAGAAAGGAACTCCACTGCACTCAAACATGGCATGGTCTCCTGGCCATAGCACTAGTCTTGGAGACTGCAGCTATCTTCTAGTCTTGACACTTAGAGGCAGTTTAATTGTGGGTTTTAGAGCTGAAAAGAACCACATCATTTCTCAGATGAAGACTCTGTGGATTAGAGAAGTTAAATGACTTGCTCAAGGTCACAGAGTGAGGTAGTAGCAAAGTCAGGACCAAGGACCCAAGTTGCTTGACTCCTGTTAACCCAATGCTTTTCAACCCCCGTTCTGAGTTTTGAGCAGGAATAAGGTCCTAGGAACATACATGTCATCTCAGGACCCTGTTGTCTCCTGACCTGACTAGGACACAATCAGGGTTGCATGGGAAGCAGTCAGTCCCAGAGTCTCCCTGAAACTTGAGGTCTATCCAGATGGTCACTGATGTTACCACCCCTCTATTTGCGTGAGAGTAGAGGAGCAATTGTACCCCATGGTCAGAATGACTGATGGATGTAAATATGGGGCCAACCTGAGCACCAGCCCTGATGTCTGCAAAAACTGCAGAGCTGGCCCTGACAACACAGCTGGCTGGCGCCCCACAGGCTCAGCAGCCTGGACTTCCCTCCTTGGGTTGCACAATGGACTCACCATTCTAGAAGCTGCGGCAGAATGCAGCTTCTTAGGGAGGGCTGTGGAGACTTTTTCCCAGACTTTTTCTAAGAGTCTCTACAGCTGCCATTTATTTTACAAATAATAGCTGAATACTCACTTCTTGACCCATAACCCATTCATGCATTTATTCATACATTCAAGAAATGTTTATTGAGCACTTTATAGATGTCAGCATCATGATAACCACCAGGTATGCATCAATGAATCAGACATGGTCACTGCCTTCAAGGAGCTCACAGTCTATTGGAGAGGCAGTCATAGAACAATATTTTTGCGTGAAGGGCAACAGGTGCTACAATAGAGGAAGGATTTTGATTGGCCCAACTTGAGTCATATGCTCATTTCTGGACCAATCACTGTAATCAAGAGAGTGTAGTATTAAGATCGGCTAGGCCTGGCTCACATGTCCATCCACCTGATGGAGATTGGCCACTCTCATCAGAACCACATTTGTTGTAGGAAGGAAGAATTCCCTAAAGATATGAGGGCTGGGTGTGTGTGGAGAGACGAATATTGTTATGAGAAGAAGGGGCATAATTAGTCATGAATAGGCAAAAAGAAAGGATATAGTCTGATCTTTTTCCATAACCATTCCTCCCTCTATTTTTTTTTTTTTTTGTGAGGAAGATTAGCCCTGAGCTCCGGCCTGGTGGCGCAAGCGGTTAAGTGTGCGCGCTCCGCTGCGGCGGCCCAGGGTTCGCCGGTTTGGATCCCGGGCATGCACCAACGCACCACTTGGCATTGATGTTAGCCCAGAGCCAGTGGCACCAACGCACCATCCTGGTCATGGATGTTAGCCCAGGGCCAATCTTTCTCAGCAAAAAGAGAAGGATTGGCAGATGTTAGCTCAGGGCTGATCTTCCTCAAAAAAAAAAAAAAAAATTAGCCCTGAGCTAACACCCATTGCCAATCCTCCTCTTTTTGCTGAGAAAGATTGGCCCTGGGCTAACATCCACCCCCATCTTCCTCTATTTTATATGGGACACTGCCACAGCATGGCTTGGCAAGCGGTGCATCAGTCCTTGCCAGGGATCTGAACCTGTGAACCTCATGCCGCCAAAGTGGAGCACGAAATTAATCACTACGCCAGCAGGCCAGCCCCTCCCCGCTCTATTTTATCACGTCAGATATGCTTTTATTAGGGGAAAAAGACTTGCAAAATTAGAAACAAGGTTTAAAATACATACTGTCAAGTGGCAATACCAGTGAGAATAAAAATGTTCCTACAAACCTAGGAAAAGGTGGATTTTTCTATAGGCATGATAACAAGTAGCTACCAGGGCCAATTTTAAACCTGTTGCCATAGATCAAGGCAACTAACCTCAGTAAATATGCAGTCAATGGTTAGTGAACTAACTAGTCAGTGTTAGTCCTTTGCTTCTAAAAGTCAGTCAATCAGTGACGGACTTGGACTCACTCTAGTAAACACATCAGGACTACTAACCAATCAACAAGAGTCTCACCCAGGTAATCAAGCTTCTACAGATGATGTCAACCCCTTATGCCTCTGAAAGTCTGCCAAATCCTTGGACTTTGTGCTGCTGCCAAACCCAACTTAACATCAATACTCTGTTCTGCTCAGAGAGACGGTGTCTAACAGCTTGACTCTCCCTTACTATAGTGAGCAATAAATTCAGCTTTTTTTTTTTCTGGCTTCCTGTGGGTTACTTGAAAATTTTTAGACTTCTGTTTTTTTTTAATAGTGTTTTTGAATATGTATCTTTGCACAGCGTTTTTGTGGTTACTCTAGATATTGAAGTCTACTGGTGTCAACATTTTATGAGTTCAAGTGAAGTGTAGAAACTTTACTTCCCTTTACATCCCTTTAACCTCCCCCATTATTAATATACGTCTTAAATATTTCCTCTACATACATTGAAAACCACATGAGGCAGTGTTAAAATTTTTGCTTCAACTTTCAAACATGGTTTAGAAAACAAAAGAGAAGGAAATTTTCTGTATTTACCATGTATTCCCTCTTATAGTGTTTTTGCTTATTTCCTGAGGTTCTATGATACTGTCTTCATAATTTGCTGTGTGTTTAGAGAACTTCCTTTAGCCATTCTTTTAGGATAGGTCTGCTGGGGATGAATTTTCTTAGTTATCTTTCATCTGAGAATATCTTGATTTCTCCTCCGTTTTTGAAAGATATTTTCTCTAGATGTAGAGTTCTGGGTTGACAATTCTCTTCCTTTAGCACCTGAAAAATGTGCACTTTCTTCTGGTCTCCATGGTTTCTGATGAGAAATTGACTCATGATCCAATCGTTTTTTCCCATAACGATGATGAAGCATTGTTTCTCTCTGGCTGCTTTCAAGATTTTTTGTCTTTTAGTTTTCAGATGTTTGACTATGATGTATCTTGGTGTAAATTTATCTGAGTTTATCCTGTTTGGGTATTACTCAGCTTCTTAAATGGTAGTTTTATGGCTTTTTTTTTTTTTTGCCATATTTGGAAAATTTTTAGCCATTGTTTCTTTGAATACTTTTTCAGCCTCCACTTTCTTTTTCTCTCCTTCTGAAACTTATTATAATCTTACATGTCTCTGAGGTTTTGTTCATTTTTTCTATCTGTTTTCTCTCTTTTGTTCAAGTTAGGTATCTTCAAGTTCACTCATCCTTTCCTCTGTCACCTCTGTTATTCTGTGGAGCCCATTCATTGAGTTTTTTATTATAGTTTTTGTAATTTTTAGTTGTAAAATCTGCATTTTGTTTTTCTTTGGATCTTCTATTTCTTTGCTGAGACTTTCTATTTTTGCACTTGCCTCTAGTGTTTTCATAATTGTTTGTCAAAGTATTTTTGTGATGGCTGATGTATAATCCTTGTCAGATAATTCTAACGTCTGTGTCATCTCCGTGTTGGCATCTGTTGATTGTCTTTTTTCATTCAGTTTGAGATCTTCCTAGTTCTTGGTGTAAGTGATTTTCGATTGAAACTTGGACATTTTGGGTATTATGTTATAAGAATATGAATCTTAGTTAAATTTTGTGTTTTAACTGGCTTCTACAGATCTGATATTGCTGCCTCATCACCAGATGGAGGTGGAAGTTCAGGTTCTCGCCTTCTTCTCTGTTGACACCAAGGGGGAGGGGGTCTTTGTTACTCTGTTACTATAGAAGTGACACTGAGGAACTTTCGAGTCTGGGTTAGAAAGGCCATCCAGCTCCTACCAGTCTCTGAAGGCACTCACTCTGGGAGCCTCCAGCCACCAGGTAAGAAGCTTGGTTACCCTAAGGAGAAACTATATGGAATAACTACATAGAGAGAGAGAGAGATGCCTGAGGAGCCCCAGCTGTTCTGGTCCTCAGCTGTTTGGATCTTCCCAGCCCAGGCACCAGACATGTGAACAAAGAGGGCCTCAAGATGACCTCAGCCCCCTCATTACCTAATTGCAACTGCATGAGAGACCTCACATGAGAACCGTCTGGCTCAGGGTTTTGCAACCTTGGACTGGATAGTTCCTTGTTGTGGGGACTGTCCTGTGTATTATAGCATATTTAGCAGCATCCCTGGCTTCTACTCACTTTAGATGCCAGTAGCACTTTGTCAGTTGTGACGTTAAAAATGTTTCCAGACGTATACAATTGTCCTTTGGGGAAAAATCATCCCTAGTTGGTTCGCTCATCCCAGTCAAGCCCCAGATTCATGAACAAAATAAATGATTGCTATTGTTTAAACCAATGTTTTGGGGTGATTTGTTATACTACAATAAATAATCAGAGGGGTGTTGAGGAGACTAGGATGCAGAACCTTTCATCTTCTCCACAAGTTTACTTGGTGTCAGCTGAAGAGCTGGACTCTGTCAGAGACTTGATGAATAGCCTGCTTATACCACCCCTGGAATTTTTATGGTGGGATATCTGTGGTATCTAGATATGTATTTATTTATCATTTACAGATAAATGATCCTATAGTTATAATTGTAGAGACATAATAACATACGCATATGCTGTAGAAACATATAGTTTATATATAGAATATATACAAGGCAGTTAAATAAAAATAAAAGGAAAAACTGGAAATCATTCAGAAAGGGCAAATACTTGTTTTAGGAAGAAGAAAATGGTTGCTGATCCCATTTTATTCTATTCTTTCTAAAAACTAAGAGAAACATGTTGGAGTTTTATTATAAACTAATTTGTGCATGTTACATGTTTTGGTGGCCCTAAATCCTAAGGCGGATTTACAACATGGATTCTTAAATGAGGGACGCTGAAAATGTCAACACAGTTTTACTTTTAAAGTTGCAGAAAAATTCTCCCTGTGGCCAAAGATCTCACACTAGATTATAACTCAAAGGATGTATTTCTGTCAGAATGAAGCTAACATAGTCCGGTGTTTTTGATGATTTAGCAAGACACTAGGATAGTGCTTAGAGAAAGCCATCAACCAAGGAATATAACTTGAATAGTGGCCAGCTAATCAGTAGCCCTATTTCTGGCAAATATCATCTCATGAAATCATCTGTTAGTTTAAGTTCTTCCTGTTTAAGACCCATAGTTCTTAAAAACCATATCATACATATATGAAGGAATGCTTGTTTTCCTTTTTTTGTTTCATGGGCGGTGGCAAGTGAATGAATGGGATTGAGTTATTAATCAACAATTTAGAAAGGAAAATGGGGTGAGGGGACAAAACACTCCCTGGATTTCCATGATTACCTTCTTATGTGCTTGAAGGTTCCATTCAAAGACTTTGACTCTCTTGCAACTGGGTTATGCTGCAGGATCTTTAT